AATAATTATGCATAAGCTGAGGAAGTGATGGTGAAGAAAATGATGGGAAGTGTGTGGCTAAGTTGAGTAATATAGAAAGACATATGTCCTCCAGTAAGTGAGGAAATCTTTGCAGAGATTAAAATGTTTAATTGTAGCTGTGTGATGGATGCTTTAATCACGATGGACAAATGGGGACATAACCAGATTATTAGGAGATAGATCAAAGGTTCTGACAGCATGGACTTTTTCTTACTGGATGCACCATGTTGAGAGTTAATTTTCCTATCCAGTGCTCATTTGGAAGTCTTCATTTTGTTTACAATTTCTTAGGCTATAGTCATACAATCTTAAAACACTGACATAGAATTTCAGACAATACTAAAAAAATCATTTACATTATTTCACAACCTAATTCTTACTGAGAAAATAATTAAGAAAAATACCTACCCTTTGTCATGCATGTTGAGGTTATTGTTCAGGGAGATAACAGTGTATAGTGAGGTGATGCGGTATTTTAGGAATTAAAAATCTGATAAAGAGTGTGATTTGAAAATAGGTCAACTTGTATTATACCGGTCTATGCTCCATGAAAAGATAAGGGACTACAAAAACTTTGGATGGATGCTTATTTTGTGGGAGAGGGGACTTTTTTGGGGGGTTAAGTGGGATTACCTTAGAGATAAAACAGTGGTGAATAGTTTTGAAAAAAAAAAAAAAGGCTCGTTTATTTTTTATTACCTGGTATTCCTTTCAGTTAGATGTATCTTAGGTTTCTTAGGAATACCTCTTATGATTTAACCAGTTACCTCAACCCACAAAGCTAACCAGTGTGCCCTAGGAAAAGGAAATGGAACAACTGGATTTTTATAGTTTCATTAGAGCTCTCTCCAATTTTCTCTGACTTTAACATTCCTAGTGAGACAAGAACAGTGTCAAGAAACACCTTCAAGGGTGTAGATCCAAAGAGGAAAGTTCTATGTAAATGCCCGTTTAGCCTTCTGAAAACCATTATACCTAAGGCACAGGGCTTACAGGACATTGTAAAGGGCAGAGCTCCAATACACTACAGGGATGCAGGTTTCATTCATCCATCTACTGTGGCATTTTTGTTATTTCCTCTCAAGGGATGCCTGCTTTTCTCGGTGGGTTACATGGGAAGTTACAGAAGCTGGAAAAGCAACTTTCCTTTCCTTTCCTTCTTAACCATTTCCCCTAATCCTGATACACAAGATCTATGCTTTTTCCTTAGCAGGGGTGATGGGATGGGACTGGTCAACTTCTAAGACATCCCTCCCTACTCCAGTAAACTAAAGCAAAGTTCACTTTAATAAGAAGATAATTAAGGGCTAAGCAAAATTATTTAAAAATGAACTATTGTTTACGTTGACAAAAAAAAATCACGTTGTATTATGACCATATCAAATATTTTCACCTTCAAGTCAGTCTGGAATTCCTCTAAGAAGAATAATTTATTTATTACAAATGATAATAGAAAATGAGACAGTGTTTTAGCTTGATTAGTGGTAGATCTTGCTTGAACATATGTCGAAGTTATTTCACCTAATTAAGTGTACCTTTCATCTATGACATTACCAGGCTGTTAGTGAGCATAATACTTCCTAAAAGGTCTTGGAATAAAGATAAAGTTAAACTTGCAAATCTCATTTTAGTTTTTATGCTACTTTTATGAGTGCTTTATCTAATATATCTAAGTCTCTTTTAGGTAAATGACTAGTTGACTTCTGCCTCAGCTTCTTCCAAACTCTCTTATATGAGATAGTCTCCAAAGGGTGTATTTTCTCTCCTATGAAACAATTTCTCCTTATATGTAATCACTTTGACATGTAGAATAGAGAAAGCAAGCAAGTATAACAGCCCTCATTACCCAATGGGTTATGAGCCAGGGGTTCTGAGCAGCAATTCATTATAATATATTGTGAGAAAAGATATGAAAACAGCCAAAAACAATCTAAAATCTTCAGAAAGTATTGTTTTCACTACAGAGCTATAATGACTATTTAAGAATTAGAATTTGTAGACTCAGATTCTCTTTTTTATTATGAAAATATACTTGCAAATTCTTATTTAAAACACAAAGTTTCTAACTATAGTAAAGGAGACATTCTGGTTTATTTTAAAAGACAAACACAAATGACATAGAGCAACATTTACCGAAACAAACAGCCATTGCTTAATCTGAGAGTAATTTGTGTTGAAAGTCTAAGATTCCGTATTTTTCCGGTGCAATCTTAGGAGCTAAGCACTATCATCTCATTTTATAGGTGAAGAAACTGAGATTCAGAGACTAAGCAGCTTCCCAACATCATATAACAAGTTAGTAGTAGGGCTACAATTCAAAACTGATTACCTTAAACTTAACCAACTTAAATTTAACCTCTATACTATAAACCTCATTTAATAAGCAGGGGTTTGTCTTTAGAAACTATTCTTAAAATAGAATAAACTATAGCAGCTAAACATGTTATTCTCCCAATAATATCTAATTACATGGACAATATTTATAAATGTACAAACAGCAAAAATAGGTTTAAAAAAACAGATAATCTTGGGCTCTCCCTGGTGGTGCAATGGGTTAAAACATCACATTATGAAGCTCTCCGAAGCCACTGCAGCACGAGTTCAATCCCCAGCCAGGGAGCTGACCCACATGGCGTGGCAGACCTCTCCTGACCTGCCGCTGCTCCCCTCAGCAGTGTACTTTGTCAATCTGCCTGTTCTGCTCCCAACTCTGTCCCCGTGAATCCTCTCACCCACCACACCTCTAGCCTGTACCCCAGTTCTGTAAGCATAAATAAATATTTTAATTAAAAAAACAGATAAACTTAATAGATTATGTGTGACATATATAGATATACATCTACAGACACTGGTGGTAAGTAGCTTAATCATTTTGCCTTCCTAAATTTTCTACCTTTGTATTCAAAATTATCTTTTAAAAGATGTCTCATCTGTTCTCAAACTGTGAGTCTGTGATTTTTAAGGTATAACCTACATGAATTGAAGGAGGTAAAAATGGATAGGGTATTCATTTTAAAACAATAAGCATTTTCTAGTAGTGTCTCTTGATTTCATCTTACTTTTGAGTATAAACATTCTAATTTACCAAGGTTATGTATGCTGGAATCATATACCAAAACAATAGAGCTGCAGAGAGACTGGACAAGGTGACAATAGAACTGCGGGAGTTCCTGATAACTGGCCTTTGGTCTTAAGTGCATGGCACTGGTCTCTGCCTAAGCCTCTTAACTCTGCCCTGAATTTGGTTGAATCCAGACAATGGTCCAAATGAATGAACCCCTCCACCACCAAGTTAATGAAAAGGCATCAAGAACTTATGTTTGTTTATTAGTAAACTATAAAGATGAGAAAAACAAAGCCCTGCTAACTTTCCCATGTTGATCTTCATTAATAAACTACTCAGCATGTTTGTTCAGCCTGACTTCTTTCCATGGGATTTACAAGGTGTTATTTTAAAACAAATGGAACTCACTGAGCAATGTGACTGAGGAAGAGCCGGTGTGTGCAGATAGTTGCCTCCAGTCCTATCCTAACAGAGAGAATATTCTTGCTGGGTTCGTTGAAAAGCTTTGAAAGGAAGGAAGAGACATTAGTGAAAATTTCCCTCAGATAACATGTTTTAAAGAGATCCTGCTCAATTAATGTCCCCTAACATATATATGAGTAATTTAGAACAAAAGTTGGAAAATGCTTTTTCAAATAAATTTTTAATTGTTTTTCTTGCCAATCTTCCCTATGTTATAATACCAACACATGTATTTAATGGATAGTCCAACACTCCTATTTTCCTTATAGGTGAAAACTGACTCAGTTCCAATAATAGCAAAGACCGCAGAATTATCTATCTGCCATATCTCCTTTCTACAACATAAAGCACTCACTGTATACAGGACCTTATTTTTATTGCATTTCTTTTTTTTTTAAGATTTTATTTATGCATACAAAACTGTGGTACAAGCCAGAGGTGCAGGGATGGTGAGAGGATTCACCAGAGATGGAGTGGGGGGAGTAGAACAGGAAGATTGATGAAGGGAGCAGCTTGGCGAGACAGGAGAGGTCTGCTGCGCCATGTGGGTCACCGCAGCCGCTAGCTTGCAGTGCTGCATCCCAAAGCACTGTGCCATCAGAGAGGGCCCTTTATTGCATTTCTACATGACAAAAAGTCAGAAAAAGATTAAAGCACCTACACCACTTGAGGAAAAACTCAGTGTTACTAGATTTTTTAACTTAATGCATATTAAGGATTCTGAAAAATCCAGATGAAAACAATTTACCTTTCAGATGATGCTTCCCAATCTTCTCTGATGATGAAGCCTTTGATAATATAACACATATAAATTGGCTGAGGAACTCAGATCAAGGGGATACATTTTAGGAATGCCACCTTAAAGAATGTATCACTGTCCAGAATCTTCAGACACATTAATAATCCAGGGTTAGCCAAACTGTACAATGTTTATCGATCTACTTATAATCACACACACTCAAACTGAATAATGTAGTGATAAACATTTACTTCAAGGAATATGCACAGGTAATTTTAGGGTGTGTAAATTATATTGGAAGTTTTTTCCCCCACAAAGAAATCAATAAACTTGTGTTTCAGGTAACTTGGTGAGTATGTGATCAGAGTAAAGGAAGACAGTCCTGAGGGCTATTTTGTGCTGAATGACATACTCCTGTCCCAGCAGAGAGGTTACAACCTTAGTTGTAACTTACAACTACAAAGATTTCCCAGATTCATATTACACAATTCTACCTTGTCATTTCAAATGTTCCTGCTAATGCTTATAAGTTAATTTACTTCTGTCCTCTTTAACAGTACAAAAAGCAAATGCATACAGCATGGCAGAACAACCAGGAGCAGTCACAGTGCAAAGTGGCCCATCGTAAAAACAGCACTTCTTTTAAACAACATACTTTTTCCTGGAATATTCATTAAAAAATAGAATGCAAAAGGTAAAATTTTTTAATTCCAAATCTTTATTAGTAACTGATACATGACCCATATTTGCCTACAACTTTATGTGCCTTACAATCCATCAGACATGCCCCATTTGAGAAGCTCAAAACAAAATATTTTCCTTCTATTTTTAGTTATTCTAGAAGCAAAACTGACAAGGTTGACTAAGTGCTAAATCAGAATGACACTCCTGCATGTAGTTCTCTTCGATTGACTTTGAAAGGATGCATTCTTTTGCTGTTAGAAGTCAGATGGATTATACAGACTAAATGCATCTCAATGGTCACTTTTAGTTTATCTTAGAATTCTTTGAGGCATTTTTAATCAGCTAAACAAACACAAATATCATAAAAGAAGACATTTTTGCAACTTCAAACTTCTTAGACTATTGATTATCATGCTATACCGCTTTTCAAAGAGTCTGCAAAAAATGACACCATCAATAAAAAATTTTACACAAAATTCCTCAAAGGGAAATTTTCTTTTTCTTTCAACTTGTATAAAGTTTTGCGAAAAGATACTTTTATAGACTTCCAGTTGGTTCAAACTCAGTTTCTGCTTGTGCTATGTAGAGCGTCCACAATGGTTTTATTGTACTCTGCAATCTGCTTAGTCACATTCTTCATAATTGGTCGGTAATCACTTTCTTGACTCTTGGTTGCTATGACTAATAATATTAGTTAAGGGGGAACACTGTTAATAAAAATATTAATTTAACTGTGGCTCAGAAAATAACCAAATTATATCACTAACTTTTTTTTTTTAAATGAAATTGAAGATAACATAGACAAAGCACAATGGGAATAGCTTAAGTAAGAGGATTTTAATAAATTGCATATCAATTATAATCTAAAAGGTCAAACAAAACTTGTCAAAATAGTTCTCTTGGGTCCTCCCTGGTGGTGCAGGGATTAAAGTCTAAGTGCTATCTAAACGGTCTGCAGCAAGAGTTCAACCCCAAGCCAGGTAGCTAATCCACATGGTGCAGCAGACCTCTCCTGTCTTGCCGGCTGCTCCCCTCAG